ACAGCTCATTGATTTGGTGTTTTATTGGGAATTTTGTTGAACTTTTAGAACGGGTTGGATTGTCTCAACAGTTATTGTGAAATTTGTCACTGAGGTCAAAAAACATGAGTAGAGTTTCCAGAACAAGTTGTTAGACATGGATTGACCTGAAGCCTCCTCAGAGAGATAGAAGTTTCTAATAAAAATAAGTCTTAAAAACAAAAGCAGAAGCACTGAATTGAAAAAACTATTCCAGACTCAACAGGCTAAATGGCCTACTTTTGCTCCTACATGTTATAGTCTAATGATCTAAGTCACATACTTCCCGAGTAGGAAAAATTGCTGTCATTTTTATCATATTAGGTTCAAACCCTAAAAACTCACTTCCCAAATTTTCTCCCACTATTACCGCATGTTGAGTGTTGAGAAATGAGAGAGAAGAGGGAAGGGAGAAGGTCTGTGTCACTGGGGACAGAGAAGATGTCTGGCGAGTAACAGTGAGGTGCTCAGCTCCACAGCAGCCATTGTTTTCTCAGAGCTCATGACCCTACATTTCCAGCTTTAAAAAAATTAATTCATGGGATCAGAGCATTGTTGGCTTAGCCAGTATTTTTTGCCCATCCCTACTTATCCTTAGATAGTGCACTCTTGCTGAATCCTTGAACTGCTGCAATGCGCGTAGCCCACAATGCCATTAGGGAGGAAGTTGCAGGATTTTGAGTCAATGATACATTTCCAAGTCAGTGATCTCTTTAAGTCATTGCTATAAATTGTAAAAAGTTGAGGGCCTACCACAGATCCCTGTAAAACCCGTCACATCCTGCCAGTCATTTATGCATATATATTTATTTCCAGCCAGCCAATCATCTTTCCAATGCTAGTGCTTTACCCCTCACCTACTTTGCACAATGTGGAATCTCAAATGTCTTCAGTCACTCCACCGCCAATGCTCAGTATGTACTGCTGCTGCTATCTACAAGATGCACCACAGATATTAACCGGAAAACCATGTGACAGCACCTTCCAAACCCACGACTGCTTCCATCTAGGAGGAGGGCAGCATATACATGGGAACATCACCAAAACGTTCTCCTTCAAATTCCCCTCCAAGCCACTCACCATCCTGACTTGGAAATATATCACCGTTCCTTCACTGACACTAGGTCAAAATCCTGGAATTCCCTCCCTAGGGACATTGTGGGTCAACTGATAGCACTTGATATGGTTCAAAGCAGCAGCTCAACACCACCTTCTGAAGGGGTGACTAGTGATGGGCAGTAAGTACTAGACCAGCCGGTGACACCCACGTCCCACGAGTGAATAATAATAAAAAGATAGCTTATTTGGGGTTTCTCCAGTGGTCAAGTGGATTTATCCAAAATATGCCTCTGATTTCCAGAGGAGCATGATCCCAGGGTTAATCCCTGATTTGTACTAATTCAAGTAGATCTCTGGTAGGAATGATAGAGAGCCCTTGATTAGGAAATGGAAAACTGGTCCAAAGCCCTAGTGTTGGAAATGCAAATATGGACACAGGCTGAAGACTTCAGCCTTAGTTGATGAGCTTCACCGACAAGTCCAAATAGCTTCAACTTCAGGAGGAACAGGAATCAAGCATTTGAACACTTTCCAGTAAGACCAAGAGATGGAACTGGCAAAAAACTGTGCTGCTTTGTTTTAATGTTTAGCAATATGCAATGTCAGATATTGGTGGGCAGGACACAAAGTATTCATGCGACTGTAAACGAGCCAAATAGGATCCTGGGTTGTGCAGTGCCTACAATAAAATATGAATCACAAGTTGTGCTACTGAGCCCATCAGTACAGTATACAATTCCAGGCCATGTGACTGACTCTTCACTGCCCTCTCAAGTGGCCCAGCAAGACAATGATTGCATTAAAAACTCACAGTAACCAAGTGTAGACAATAAATGCCTGTCTTGGCACCGACACTCTGAGAATGAATAATATAATTCTGGTATCAAATAAAGACTACCATATTTGTAGAAAAAATAGTCTGACAATACTATGACTTTAAGAGGTGTATTTTGTCCTGGCTTTTGTTTGAAGAGAGGCTTCAAGACAGAGGTTCAAAGCTGTCTATTTGAATCCAATAAAGTAAACAGCTTGTGAGGTCTTGGGGTTTTCTTTTTAAAAAAAACGTTGGAACAATAGAAACAGCCTGAATAGGTGGTGTCATGCTTCCCCAGAGCCAGGATTTTTGGTTTTACTTTTCCAAAAGCAGTTGCTGGTGTCTTAAAGCTGGGTTTGGGAGCTGCAGTACATTCTGTCCCTGTTACTCTGAGTTTTCTCTTGATGTTTCTTACCCACCTGGACTGCAGAATTGCATGCGAAGCAATCAATTTTACTGCATGTGCCTTTGCCAAGGGTGTGTTAATGGGATGTTACTATATTGGAACAGTTGCTGTTTAGTAGTTAAATAATCTATTATTCTGTTAAGTTTTCCCAATAGATTTAAGTTATTTTGATTTCTTCTTCCTTTTATTGTATATTCATACAGTATAATTAAAACTAAGTGTGTTTTACTTCAAGGCTGGTAGCTTGACCAATCAAATTCATCTGGAACGCAACGCCTGGCATTTGCCTTTAAAATAAGAAAAAGTTAGGATCTAGACAATCTATTTAATATATTTTGAGGCGGTTTGGTCTGGTCCATAACAATAGCAATGGACTTCCTGTCTGATACCCAGTATCAGACAGCTCTGCTTCAAAGAGATACCACACAAGTCAATTTGTGTACATCAAAAGTAGTCTCGGAAAAGATTCAAGATCCTTCAATGTGTGATGTTGAACAAGAACCTGGAGAAAGTTTTACTATAAGCCTAGGGGCTGACAATGAAGGGCCAAAAGGGGAAGATGAGTGGACAGATAGGATAAAAGCATTTTACATCAATTACAGTAAACATTTCAAATGAGTTCCCAGGGAGGCAATAAAGTCCAATAGGAACACAAATTTTTGAGGCGTCAGACATGCATTTAGTGAGTAAAATCAAGTGAATGATTACAGAGACTGAAAGTTTTTTTTTGTCTTGAACTTTGTCGCCAGCCAAATGCTTCAAAATGATTTTTTTTTGCGGATCTGTAAAACTTGGTAAGAGAAGAAAATACAACTATTTTGAGATCATTGTGATACATCGATTATCTTAGCTTTACTGGGAGACTTCCATTCCATGAGGTGGAAGGTTAGTCTTCAAATTCCACGCAATCAACCATTCATGTAAGATGATGTTTTTTCGGGGGGTGTGTGCATGCATGTTTGTGTGTGTTTGTGTGCGCGTGCACACACTAAAAAAAATTTAAGTGTTGGCTGGTAGAAAGATTTACAGTTACATACCAACTTATCATATCTTAGACATATAGCAAAGCTCTGCAAATACAATGAATTACTTTACAGTGCAGGTCGGCTGTTGTACAGACAAATATGGCTGACAGGTTTATCATAGCAAGATTCTACGAACAGTAATGAAATAAATGCCAAGGTTTTCTTTTGATCGAGTGAGGAATACTGGCTGGGGATCTCATTCTTTGCTTTGTACAATGCTGAGAGATCTTGAATATCCATTTAACCATTGAACAAAGATCTGTATGGCAATCTCCTGCGTAAAGGATACACCCAAGTCTGAACAGATTTGACAGAGGCTGTTCTCCAGGCTGGAGAGCCCAGCCCAAGGTCATAGTCAAAGGATATGAGTTGATCATTTCAGACTGAGATTAGGAAAGATTTCTTTACTCATATGGTTGTGAATTTCTGGAACTCTGACCAACAAGGCTGTAGATGCCCAAAATATATTCAAGACTATCAATGGATTTTTGGATTTTGAGGTTTCAGGAAAGGTACAGTCAGAGTCAAGAACCAACCGTAATATTGAATGGCAGAGCAGACCCCTGAGCAATGCACTGAAATTATGCTGAAGTTCTGGAAAGGCAATTGAAATCTCAGCATTTTGACTCAGCAACAAGGATATTACAACCAGAGAAACTGATTTAGAGGATGGAATTACTTGAATTATCGATTTTCTTTAACTTCTTAGGTATTTATCTACAAAACAGAAACTATCCTTACGCAATGCAATATGTAAACACAAACAAACAAACAAATTTAACCTCCAGCTTTTCCCCTGCGATATAAGAACAAGTAAAAAGCTAAAACAGATTTGCAATGAAGCCCTGAATTTTCTAAAATCTATATTATGTAAACTCCAACAATGCTGCAGTATTTATCTGAAACAATAAATGTCTCAGTTATTGTTTTTCTCAACTCTACAAATCACATCATAAGCCGCAAAAGCAAAGAGCCTACCTTAGTCTACAAAGGCTATTCTTCAGTTACTGGGAATAGACCAGACTATTTGAACTTCAGCAACCACTCCTGCCCTATCTTGCATATCATATTTTCACTGCTCCCAAGTCCGAGAAGTCAAAGAACTGAGAAAAAGCACATTACTCAGATAATCATTGAGGGATTGAGGGAAGGGGGTGAAATTATAATGTAACAATCTATGTCAGAGCATCTGGGTACAACAAATACATTGCATCAACTGTACTCCATACCCATCATTACAGCTCACCAAATAGAATAGCAATCAATTGACGATATCTTCAATTAAACTAAAAAAATCCAAGCCATCAAAATAGGGACAACTTTTGTCTAATTTCTCATTTCCTTGTCAGTTGATGCTTAGAACAAGCACTAGCAGAGTGTGATGGCAAGCTCTACAATCACTCATGTGTCAAAGTGAAACCCCAATGTCCACAAACACAATACTTCACAACAGAAGTCACAGAACAATGCCCTGTATTATGAAATTATGAATTATGAATGATTTTCCTCCATCTCAGTTCCAGAAGATGAAGGTTAATTGTAACATTTCTAACCTCGTTCCTGTTGAAAAATATCTAAACAAACAAACTATCCTTTAGAAAAATTTGTAATAGTAATCAAAATATCCATGAACATTACTCTGAATACAGGCTAAAAACTCTGACAGGGACACCCTTACCATGAAGGTCTTGAGACACGCTTGCTGGCGCCTTGACCCGTCATTAACCTGCATGAGAAGGGTTTCTGTGCAAATATCCGCAAACACTTTTGTACAAACACTGTTTGGAAGGAAAAACATTTCAACAGGTTAGAACAGAAAATAAGACTATCAGAAACACATCTCAAATGAATGGTTTATTTGAACTAGTTATATTCTTAGACACCCACATGATTACAAACACTGAAGCCAAGAAGTCCAGGACCCTACTTTCTCTCCCATATTACAATTACACATTCTCAAATCAGGGAAAATGGACACTCAGTGTCAGGTAAGGATCCAAAAGAAAGCATACCATAGACAATGAGGAAAACTCATACTACTTTGCCCCAGCAATATACCTCAATATCAATATTAGAAGAATGCCAGCCCACTGCACTTTTGTTTCACATCTATTTCATTTGCAACACCAGCCACCCTTACACAGTATCAGTGAAACATCCAATATAGAACAGCCCCAACACCCAAGGGACAAATGTACAGGAGTTTAAGGAACCCAAATCTTTTTTGCAGAAGAAAATCTAATTCAAACAGCAATTTATTGCAGGACCACTACTCCTACAGCACTAAGAATTCATTGAAACAAAAGTCTTCTTCTGTATTTTGTTTGGCTTGCTACTATACCAGTTGGCGCATAAAATAGTCTGTAATAGGCTTTGGGGAAGTAACTCTTTCACACCCAAACACTGCGCATTACTTGAATACGTAAATTTTACCTGTGACAGTTTTCACGGGCGTCTACAGCCCAACAGGTCTTCTCTTATGACTACATATGGTGCAAAAATTCTGCAATATAAAGAAGAAAAGATTATTAACAAACTATACTTATAGTTATTTGGTAGTGCAGATCTCAAGTATTACTGGCTCATTTTTCAGGGAAGTGCATTGATCAATCAACTTATCTGGTTTAAAATTTAAACAAAGTTTGACAAATCACACCATCTAGCTGGTGCAGAGTCCGCTTGCTAACCAACAAGCACTCTCATTTTATACAATAGAAATGTGACCTCTGTTTTACATTGGTATTTCTTGCAATTACCCTGATGAGTGCAAGATCTAAAGCTTTGGCAAAGTGTATTTTTCTTCAGCAATACTCAATTTTTTTTTCTTACTTCAGTAGGTTTCCATCTATGCAGCACAAGATTTCTCACCCAAAACCTTCAGGTCCCACAAAACACCCTTTTGGTGCCTTACCCAATTAGCCATCGTCAGCTAGTTGCTCAGTGGTTAGCACTGCTGCCTCGCAGTGCCAGGGACACGGGTTCAATTCCACCCTCTGTTTCCTCCAACAGTCCAAAGATAAGCAGGTCAGGGGGATTGGGCATGTTACATTGCCCACAGTGTCCAAGGATGCGCAGGATATGTGGATTAGCCATGGGAATGCAAGGTTACAGGGATGGGGCGAGTCTGGGTAGGATGCTCTTTGGAGGGTCAGTGAGGACTCAATGGGCCGAATGGCCTGCTTCTACACTGTAGGGATTCTATTCTTCTCACAATGCTCAATGTTACTCAAGGTGAGCAGGGAGAAGACCTGAAAATCAAAGTTCAATGCACAGCTCAGCTTCGGTTGCTTTTTGCACTCCTAATTAAAGCTTGTTAGGAGGAAAACATCCTACTCCAAAGGCACTTTTGTTCGACACCTATTCCATTTGCAATATCAGCCACTCTTACAGCATCAGCGAAACATCCACATAGAACAGCCCCAACATCCAAGGGTCAAATGTCCAAGTACAAAATACAAGTGGTACCAATAATTTTCTTTAAAATTCACTTAAGGAATTCAAGTGTTTTTGCAGAAGACCAAGTCACCCGAGATCAGATAACTCAGCAATAGTCCTGAATCAAACTTCGAAACTGTATCCCAATGTCATATCTACTTTAACAGGGTGAGTTTCTTGATCTGTATCAAACATTATTGCTTCCACTAGAACCAACATTTATAAAGTCTGACAGAAGGGGGGGGGGGGGAGGGGAGAAACAGATCGTCTTGCATACACACAACCCCAGGTTGTGAGACTCACTCTCTCGCGCACACGCACGCACGCACACCCTCCATTGTCCATCCCTTCAAACCCCTTTCAAGAAGGATACCTTATTGTCTCTAAGTGTCTTGTTAGAGGGGAAATTACTACCCAGAGAGGCATATTGAAATAACAGTGGTGGTTTGATTTTATTGTTCAAACTTTGATTAAAATCACACCTCTTCATGCATCCATGAATAAGCTTCTCACTATTTCCCAAAGATTCAGATGAACATTTCAAATCCTTGAGAGTTACTTGATCCATGCTTGCATATAAAGAGACATACATTTTCAATTTCACAAAAGCATCAACACTACTTTTTCCAGATATTTACTCTTTAAATCTATCAGCAAAACTGCACTTGCTTCAACTGATAGTTTAGAATATATTCCAAGCAAAGCTATGAACTTCTGTTATCACGAGCAAACCTAATTTTGCTCATATGCACATTTAGGCCACAGACACACTTATAATGGTATTTCCCTTCAATATGATAGTGAGTACACTCTTAAGTAATCTGTAAAGTGTTTCTGGGATGGTCCAAGAGTTTGAATTTTGCTGTATAAACACTACCTACATATGCATGTAAGAATATATAAATTAGGTGCAAGAATAGGCTGCTCAGCCCTCTAGTCTGCTACATCATTCAATAAGATCATGGACAATCTGAACAGTTACAACTTTACACTTCCACCTATACATGAAAGAATCTCAACTATAAAGGGAATTAAAAGCAAAAGGTAGATAACCTTTGAAATGACTCTGGGGCAGAGAATTCTAGAGACCCACCAGTCCGTTACAAAGGTGTCCTAAATGCAAAATCTCTTATCGTTAAGTTATGTGCCATTGTTTTCTACTCTCCACTGGAGAAGGAGCTGTCCTTCTAGCATCCATCTTGTCAGGTCCTCTCAGAACCCTGTATGCACCAATGGATATAGGCCAGTCCGTCCGATCTTCCTCATAAAAACAACCTCACCCGCAAACCCAGATATCAGTCAAGTGAATCAGCTGTGAACTGTTTCTCACAGATTTACATCCTATTCTAAATAAGGTAACCAGAACTGTATTCAGTACTCCAGATGTGGCCTCACCAACACTTTACACAACTGTATGAAAATATCACCATTTTATATTCCACTTGCCTCCCTATCCACTTGATGCTTCTGCATACTAATCTTTCATAATTCATTTACCAGGACATCCAGATCTCTCCGTACTTCAGTTCTGCAACATTAAATACTGCAAACTAAATCTTCAATAATACAAGGTCCAGATAAATCACATTTACTCAGCTAAACAGTGTCTGTTGATGGTAATATATTCTGAAAACACTGACCTAACAGTTTGACCTGCTTTATGAATAATCTTTTAATTGACCATCTCAAATTTTTCCCACCAGCGACAGTCTTGTCACCACATGTACTTTACAATGGTGCTGCAAGGTTCAAAATGCTCCTTACAAGTTTGGAATGCTAAAATCCATACTTGTACAGAGTTCTTTCCACAGATCATTGTCTGAAAATTTCCCATTCTCACTATCACACAACACTGTGATCCCAGTGAAATACCATGTATATTAAAAGCAAGCAACGGGGTTTAAAAATCAAAGCTTGAAGATTTAAAATCATGCTTTGAAATCATCTGTTTTGAAGAAAATCGAAATCCTATCATTCATTGCACAAGACAGGGTCAGCAACACTAATTACATACACAAACAAGCAAGGGTGGTACAAGGAGCTCAAGAATGTTTTCCCACATTTATTGCCCAAATTATTCTGAACGTAATTATCAATCAGTCTCAATATTTACTTCATTCCGCTACCAGCGCACCATGGCTGCAGTCTGCAACATCCATAGGATACTATAGCAGCTTAATTTAGATAAACATGAAGTGTTGCATTTTGGTAAGGCAAATCAGGGCAGGGCTCGTATACTTAATAGTAGGGTCCTGGGGAGTGTTGCCGAACAAAGACCTTGGAATAGAGGTTCATAGATCCTTGAAAGTAGATTCGCAGGTAGACAGGGTAGTGAATAGGACGTTTGGTACACTTGCCTTAATTGGTCAGTACATTGAGTATAGGAGTTGGGATATCACATTGCAGCTGTACAGGACATTGGTTAGGCCACTTCGGGAACAATGCATTCAATTCTAGTCTCCCTGCTATAGGAAAGATGTTGTTAAACTTGAGGGGGTTCTGAAAAGATTTACAAGGATATTGCTGGGGTTGGAGGGTCTGAGCTACAGGGGGAGGCTGTATACACTGCAATTATTTTCTCTGGAGTGCTGGAGGCTGATGGGTGACCTTATAGAAGTTTATAAAATCATAAGGGGCATGGATAGGGTGAATAGCCAAGGTCTTTCTCCCCCACCTCAGAGTAGGGGAGTCCAAAACTAGAAGACCTAGGTTTAAAGGTGAGAGGGGAAATATTTAAAAGTAACCCAAGGGGCAACTTCTTCATGCAGGGGGTGGTGCGTGTATAGAATGATCTGCCACATGTGGTGGTGAAGGCTAGTACAATGACAACATTTAAAAGGCATCTGGATGGGCACATGAAGAGTAAGGGTTTAAGAGGGATACAGGCCAAATGCTGGCAAATGGGACTAGATTAATTTAGGATATCTGGTCGGCATGGATGAGTTGGACCAAAGGGTCTATTTCAGGCTCTGTAGCAACTTGCCAAACTTTTGATAGTACCGCCCAAGCATATACACTACCTACAAGCTAGCGCTTCCCAGGTACAACCTGAAATTTTGGGTCACAAGCCCTGAAGCAGCAATGGCTACCATGGAGTTCTACCAAGTTGTAACTCCTATTTTAACAGTTCTCATTAAGAGTTTGCTACAATTTCAAGCCTCAAAATGGATTCGCAGAGGAAAAAGGTTTGTGAAGCACTAACCCAAAAGGACAAGAGCAATAGTGTGTTTGGGGACATGATAATCAAGTTCCACTGTACTCAGCAAAGACTGCAGCAGCAAAATTGCAAATCATCATCTTTCAAGGACAACTATACATCAGTAGAAAGTACCAGCCTTGCTAGCAACACTCAAATCTAAAGAGTCAAATTTGAAAAAGTTCAATTAATTTTGTAGTTATAACTATGTAAAAAGTACAATTATTCCTCTGTCCAAAGTTTAAAAAAAAACTAGTTAATTTTCAAGTAATTTGTTTGAAGTATTTTAAAGAGAATGGCTCCATTGGTTTGTCTACCTACTTCTAGTCTCCTACTTCTTTATTTCAGTTCTCATATCTACCTTGATCCCAGCACTTCAAAATATCATATGATATAATAGTCCTCTGGAACTTAGGAAATTAAAAGCAGTATGTAACAAGTATCAGACCAGTATGAATGAAAAAAAAAGGTGCTTCATCACATTTTATTCACTTTCCCAAAATGCTATCCTTACCCACTTCCTATTAAATCATGTAGCCAGTTCTGTATCCTGATCTTAGCCACATTTTTTGGCAATGAGTACCAGCTGCTGATTTGTCACATGTGTATAAAAATATGCTGCTCAACATCTGGCTTCTTGTCTTCATAACCCCATCCCTGCTTTCAAGAATTGACTGTGAAGCAATGCAATAGGCTTACTTTCTTTATGTGGTTAAGTATCTGATATTTTATCTCTCTGATGACACCCAAGTCATTTATTGTTGAAGCTAAAGGGGTATGGATTATCATGATGGATAGTTGGTATGAGCAATAACTTTATTCACTCTGGAGACCACTGTTTTTTTTTTAAGCCTATCATGAATCCCAGCCAA